GCCAGTATGTTCTCTGGGGGGGGGGGACAACTATGCCGGCCCTGCTCCTGGACGGCTTATTTGCAGGGGGTGGCCCTGGAGCACTTAAAAATAGTATGGCATACAGTACTTTAAATGCAACCTAGTGGGATGTGAATTGCACCGCGTTGTGCACATAGACATTTCTTGTAACATTGTTACTTGTGACATTTCAATTAAGTTCTAACCACAAAAAAACAAAAACAGTGCGATGTACCTGAGCGCAGCTGCTGGTGTTAACAAGCCCTTATACCTACCTGTTTCAGATGTCTGCAGGTCTGTCACGTGACTCGGTGGGTCTTCTTCCACTTTGCCTCTTCTCTGGCCCAGGGCAGTCTTCTGCTTATGCACAGAGCGGTGCTAATGTTAGCTTAAAATGGTCTTACAGGTGCGTTCCAGTGTTTTGATGCAATCCAGTGCATTCCAGACCAGAAAAAATAGGACGAGCAGTATTTTTCTGGTCTGTTCTGGAACGGACTGCGCTGATGGGAACAGAGGCCAGAAATAGCATAGGGATACTTTGGGATGCATTTTGGGTCTGGAAACGGTCTGGTCTGATCTGTAGGTAATCTGGATGTGGTGTGAATGGGCCCTAAAACACGATGAAGGGTGCTGAGCTACACCTGAGTACACCTATCTCTGATTCTTCTCTGAATCCCAACTGTATGGCTGTGGCTAGTTCATAACCATTACCTCCTTTTTCTTGAGGGTTTCCTGTCTCAACTGTCCACGTGTTAGAGTAGGCTTCGGTTCCCAAACTAAGCCACAAGGGTTTTAGGAAGCATTCCCTGAACCTACTTTTAATAGTCCTCAGATTTATAGTCAGAGTTTGTGGATTCAGCAGAGTCCTTGGTTAGGCATGCATTTTTTGTGCAGATTCCTCCCTTTCTCCAAGTGAAGGAGAATAGTCAAAGGATACTACCTCTCAAGTTAAAGAAGCCATGGATATCCTTGTACAGACAGTGATTTTGCATATATTAACTGTGAAGAACCTAGCACCTCTAGAAGGATACCTTAAAATTACTGCAGTCGTTCTGCTAGGGTCCTGCCTAATCATTAGCTGTGTGTGTGTGTGTGTGTGTATTGTGACATGAGGAAATCATCGAGAGGCGATCTATTTCCCCACGATTTCTTTCATATGTGCAAGACTAGTTGAACCCAGACCAGGTTTTCGGGTAGACTTTGGGTCTGGGTAATCCAGTTCGGATTTCTTGGCTCACCTGAATTGTTTAATTGATTAATTCAGCCAAACCTGTGTGTAATCACTAACAGAGTTCTGGCTGTCAATGATCAATGATAACATAACTTTATCTTCTGGGATGGGGAAGGGACAGGAGAGGGAGGGCAGGCGGGTAGGTAAGAATCGAGGGGAGAATACAAATCAGGTCTGCTAGAAAATATCTCTGGCTGCAGTGTTTGGTGAAAAAGAAACCTCGCTACTTCCTGCAGTGTAGTATAGAAGGCACAATAATGATTGTCAAGGCAAAAATATATCATTACTGTCCACTGCCATGAGTTGAGTCCAGGTTGCGATGGATCCAGGTGGCCCCAGACAGAGTAATGTTTGGCATAATTATCATTACATGTAGCCAGCCATTCTTTGGAGATCTAGATTTCCAATACCAGTCTGCTCCACTCCTCCACCGTAGGAACAGATGTCTTCCTCCAGTAGTGGGGGATTAAGTGCTTGGCCACATTTAGGCGATGGGGAAGAAGACTGGATTTGTATTTGAATACTCCTCTTCATCGGGGGCATGAAGTAGCTGGAGGAAGTCTTATCTCCCACAAGCAGGCATTTTGCTGGGCAGAAACACAGCAGACCATCCTTCCCAGTGAGCAAGATCACAAAAAAGCTAATTAAGGAAGAGTGGGAGAAATCCGCAAAACGGATGGGGTCTAAAGGAAGGTTTTCTTGTCTCTACCCAATCAGTAGCACGGATTCAGGTGCATGGGACTCAGCCCCTAAAATTGACGCAGCTGTTGTCAGGTTGGAAAAACGCACAGCCTTGCCGGTTGATAACGCAGGGTCTCTCAAAGATTCCATGGATCGCAGAATGGAGCATAATCTGATGAAAACCTACACGGCTTTGGGGGATGGGCCTTCACCCGGCGGTGGCCCTATCTTCAGTTTCACGTACATCCAACCTTTGGATTGATGAGTTGGAGGACGATTTGAGGAGAGGCGTGAGCAGGCACAGACTCCTGGACAGGATTCTAGACGTCAAACTGGCAGCTGACTTTTCTATGGAGACTTCAGACGATCTAATTCAGTCATTAGCCAGAGGTATGGTGTCCGCAGTGGTGGCTCGCAGAGCTCTGTGGCTTGGGTCCTGGGGTGCTGATGCTTCCGCGAACAACAGTCTCTGTTCCCTAGCTTTTTAGGGGGATATGAAGTTTGGTTTAGAGCTGGATGCTTATATAAAAAAATCCATTGAGAGCAGGAAGATCATACTTCCTCAAGAGAGGAGAAACGGGAGGAACTATAGAGATCAGAGGCCTCGCCAAGGCAACAGTGCTTTTCGCGACTCCAAATCCTACAAGCCAGGAAAGGAGTCTTCTCGCTCACGACCATGGAGAGGCGGATCTAGCCCTTCCAGATATGGGAGGGGCAAGAATGCGGGTCCTAGCAAGTCGGAAAACCCCTTACGAAGGTGTCGATCCTGGAGACATAGGAGTAGGTGCGAGGCTGCAGCTTTTCTCAGGTCTTTGGGTACACTCAATTGCGGACTCATGGGTCCTGAAAGTGGTCACGGAAGGTTACATCTTGGACTTTCGTTCCGGTCCCCCGAAAGGCAGGTTCATTGCTACCAAACCTCCGATGGATCAAATAAAGGGACCGGTTATTTGGAATTCTATAGACTCGCTTCTTTCCCAGAATGCCATTGTGGTGGTTCCCAAGGAACAGCAGTTCCGAGGCTTCTATTCCCGCTTGTTCTTGACTCCCAAATTAGAGGGCGGCTGGAGGCCAGTCCTGGACTTGCACCAGTTGAACCATTTAATCACTATCAAGAAATTCAAAATGGAATCCCTTCACACGATAGTAAAGGTGGTGCATCCACACATATGGATGGTGTCAATCGATCTCAAAAATGCATACTTCCACATCTCCATCGCTGTGCAGCATCAGAGGTTCCTGAGGTTATGTGTCAGTCGCAGGCACTTTCAATTTCGAGCAATGTCGTTCGGCCTGATCACTGCCCCCAGAACCTTTTCAATAGTTTTGGTGACCATCATTGCGGAAATCCGCAGACGCGGCATGGACTTATTCAATTACTTGGACGTTGTCTTGATTCTGGCAAACTCGGAGGAAGAGGCCATATTGAACAGAGAAGTCTCTATCAGCACCCTCAACAAGTACCGATGGCTGTTGAATATGGAGAAAAAGCAAACTGACTCCAACACAGTCTATGGTGTACTTGGGGGCGAAATTCAACACCAAATTTGGGACCGTTCAATTGTCCAGGGACAGATTCCACAGGATAAGGGACACGGTAAAAATGGTCCGAACCAGTGCACAAGTCACACCCGAATACTTCATGAGCCTGTTGGGCTCCATGTCCTCAACCATAGGTCTTACTCGGTGGGCACAGTGGAATATGAGGGTGGCTCACAAGTCGTTTCTCACACAATACAAGTATCGGAGC